TGGAATGAAAGTCACATTGCCTGTTGGAGTCCAGCACAGCTGTCCTTGGCATCCACCACCAACTGCACTCTGCTCAGGCCACTGTTCCACACGGAAGCTGGACACTTGGCCAGTGGCCTGGACACAGCAGTGTGCTCTTACCCCAGGCTGTGACAGACTTCCCCTGGGGGCTCTAAAGGCTCTTAAGCACCCAAGGAACACGCTTGTTAAACTGGAAGAGTGAGAACTTGTTTGCAGGGGGAGAGTACTGTTAAGTTGAAGACATGGAAAGATAAATCCTAGGCTGTCTGTGCTGCTGTTGCTGTGGAAGGACAGATGGACAGTGACAGCAGCCAGCCCGGGCTCGTTATAGAGGTAGGCTGGAAACAGCTTGCTTTTAGCTACCTGCAGGGTCGGTGCTCAGGCAGTGGATGTGAGCGGCACTCACTGCTCCTCAAGTGCTTCTGTCTCATGTGCTGATCACAACCCACTGCCTTTGAATTTATTTATTTCTTTTGGGGGGTGTCCTTGCACTCTTTCTGTCTTCAGCAGTATGGTGGCTCTGTTCCAAAGGGTCCTTTTAAATTAGCAAGGCTTTTTGGTAGTGCCAAGCAGGGGAAGGAATCTCAATGGACAAGCAGCAAAGCCTTTGTTTCTTGATGCCTTCTTAGCAGAGAAGTTGTGGTGAGCACATTTAGGAGACAGGATGCAACACCCATGTGCACCTGTAGCAGGATGCTAAGTACCTGTACCTAAGTACCATGCAACACCCATGTGCATCCTGTAAGTACTTGTAGCAGGTACTTAGCAAATCTCATGCTGAAGTGTGGGAAACCGTCTCCTGGGAAATACTCCAAACAGCAGGCAGAGTTGTATCGTTTCTGTCTGGGATACTTCTACTGTGTACATTATTTTTGGCAAAATCCAAGCTAATGTGTTTTTAATAAAGTTATTATAAAGTCTTTATTATTAGTAATGGGAATACTCTTGAGCATGAGCTGCTCTGTCTTGCACTCTCTGTTTAAACTTAAGCATTTTGGTTCACAGTGATGTGAGAGGAAACCTCTTCTGTCAGCTAAGCCACCTCTGCACCAGCAGGAGCGATGCCTTTGCAGGCAGGCACTGTATCTGCAGTCCCAGGGGACACCATGTACTCACATTTTGGCTCCATTAGCTGAAATTCTCTATCAGATCTGTTGTGTAATTACCAAAACTCAGGTGGTAAACTCTACTTCGATAAGTCTTGAAGGGCTTTGCATAAAATATAGGAAAGGTGAAACAAAGTACACACAGAATTAGAATATCACAGAATCACAGAATGTCAGGGATTGGAAGGGACCTCAAAAGATCATCTGGTCCAATCCCCCTGCCGGAGCAGGAACCTAAATGAGATCACACAGGAAGGCGTCCAGGCGGGTCTTGAATGTCTCCAGAGAAGGAGACTCCACACCCTCCCTGGGCAGCCTGTCCCAGGGCTCTGGCACCCTCACTGTAAAGAAGTTTCTTCTCAAGTTTAAGCGGAACCTCCTGTGTTCCAGCTCACACCCATTGCCCCTTGTCCTACTGACATCACTGTGGGCATCACTGTGAAGAGCCTGGCTCAAATATACGAGTTGTTACGACTGTGGAACTGGGATTGCTGTGGTGGGTCGAGGCAGAATGCTCTGTCAGATTGTGGCAGACCTTTGCTGCTGAGAGTTCCCCTTCAGTTGGCTTTAATTTATCCCTGAGCTGCCCAAACATGTCATCTTGGCCTAACGGGAGTAGCTGTGCCCTTTGAACATGAAGCAGCTTATTAAAGCACTGAAAACAAATATAAAGAACTGTGGTAAGGAAGGTGTTTGACACAAGCCCATGTGTGGATGTGGCTGTTGGAGGAGGGCTGGGCAGTGCTGGAGGCTTTTACCTGCTGTCCTTCACCAGAGCATCCTGCTGCTTGGGGCTGGGCCTTGGGAGAGCTGGCATGAGAATGAATGTCTCGTGGTACTCGGGGGTGTTGCAGTCTTGCTGTGCAATAAATTGCAAAATCTGTCTGTTAATTAGATGCCAGCGAGGTCTTTAGCCCCGAGTCACAGTGTTGTGGGGCTGAATGCAGTGGGGGTGTTTGCACTGTCGTTACAGTGGCTGTGGGCATTCTCAAACACGCAGTAGCGGCAGTGAGCCTGTGGTCTGGCCAACACCAGCGTTTCCCCTCCTTCTGGTTAGTGGGGTGTGGGATTGACCATGGCCAGGTGCCCACCAAGCTGCTCTTTTGCTCTCCCTCCATCAACAGGATGGGGAGAAAATATGATGGAAAGCTTGTGGGATGAGATAAGGACAGGAAGATCGCTTCCCAATTACCATCATGGGTAAAACAGACTCAATTTTGGGAAATTAATTTATTGCCAGTCAAACAGAGTAGGATAATGAGGATTAAAAATAAATCTAAACATATCTTTCTCCCCCCCCCACCTCCTTTATTCCCAGGCTCAACCTCACTCTTGACTTTTCTACCTCCTCCCTCTCCTTGTTCGCTGGCCATGGTGTCTGCAGGGTTGTCTCTCTCATGTTCTCTCCCAGCAGTTTTTACCTGTTCTTCGGTACGTTATCACAGAGGTGCTCCCACTGTCACTGATGGGCTCAGCCTTGGGGCTGCCCTGGTGCTGGGTTTCTAAACAAGACTTGCTTTTCATTTGTGTAGTGCTTTTGTCTCTTGCTAAAGGAGGGAACCTTCATGGCTAAATTTGGTCGGTCTTTGGGCACTTCATCCAATCAAGAGGTTGTGTGCAGGCTGTGCAGCATCAGAGATGATGAATGGGCAATAGACAGGAGTGTCCCTGAGGTGCAGCAGCTTGAAGAGCCCCCAGCTGCAGTAGAGAAGCAGGCAGTGTCCTCCAGGTGAGTTTAACCTCTGGAGTAGGTGAAGGATGGACACAGGTGACCTCTGGCACTGAGAGGAAGGCTCCTGCCTCACCTGAAGTCTTGCAACTACAAAATAAGTTCATCACCCTCAAAGTTGAAGAAGGGCCAGATGTGGCTTGAACCAAAGGCTCTGGTCCACATGACCATGCAAGACCACCAGGAAAAAAAAAAAAACAAACACACTGAAAAAAGATGAGAGTTTATTTTTAATAGTCCTTTCCTATCCTAGACCTCTTGGCCTTGTTGGCTCTCCTTGGGGCCTGTGCTGCTCCTGTTTGCATGCTGAGAGCAGCTCGGTGTATTTTATCCTCGTGTGATGAAGGAGTCACCACACACACACCAAATACACTGAAACACCCAATTCCTCCACTGCAGACCCACACCTGCTGCTCCCCAGGGGTCCATCCCAGGTCTGGATGGTCTCCAACAGCAGGTTGCAAATTGGGGAACACAAAGCCAGGGGATGAGTTGGGTCCAAACGTATTTGGAGGTTGGTGGTGGGGCTTTTGGATATAAAACAATCTGAGAGTGTGGATGAAAATGTCCACACAGGGCCCTAATTCACAGCATCCCTGTAGCAGTGTTCTTCCCTGTATCTAGGAAATAACTAAGAAGACAAAGGTTTTATTTAAGAATAAAAGGCTCAGAGATTAGAAAAATAAATAACACTTCCCCCCCTTGCCCCCTTTCCTGTCAAAGCCTGAGAGGTTTACGCTGCCTGCCCCGTGACCGATGGGCCAGGGCTGTGCAGGAGCCCTGCCGTGGTGTAGTGACCCCAGGTCATTACAGGTGTGACCTGGAAGGCAACGTCACATCATTTTGTCCTTCAAAGTACAGCAAATGAGCCAGCCCTAAATATACCTGCCTCCCAAAATACACCTGCAGCGAGGGGGGTACAGAGCAGGGAAGCATGCAGGGAGCCGCTCAAATTAGATCTAAAATCACCCACTTGATTTCCCGTTGATTAAGAGAGTGATTTGTCCTCCAAACAGCACCGAGCTGGCAGGTTTGGCTTAAAATAACCTGAAAGTGCTTCAGGATGAGGCGCTCGCACGGGGCCTCGCACACACACGGCTCTAAGCAGGTCGGTGACGGGGGGGGGGAGGGGGGTTGCAAGAGGGAAGGGGTGACACATCCCTGCCCAAAGTCCCTGTCCACACCCCACCATGCCAAGGGGCTGCTGGCAGTTCCCCGCAGGAGAGCTGGCCCTGACAAGGTTCCCACAACCCCTTGGCTGCCCCACAAGCCCCCCGCACAGTGAGGCTGGGCTTGTCTATTGGCACGCTGCCTAACTGGGAATAAAACACGTGAAAGCCCTTTAAACACGTTGTTTTAAGTACCTGCGACATTACAACAAACTCTTTACAGGATCCTTCAAAAAAACAAATGACTCAGAGAACTAATAATTAGCCTGAAGCGTTCAAAATACTCCTGAAATAATAGTGCTTTGTCATGACTCATCAGAATCTATTTTTGTAGCTTTTTTTTTGCAGGGGGCTGGAGCCCCTTTCTGCCCCCCCAGCACCTCCTGCACAAGGGCACGAGCCTGGGCAGGTAAAAATAAGAAAATCTTAACGCTCAAACCTCTCAGTGTGTGGTGTTTTAGGGTCCAGGTGCCAGTTTAACAGCCTAAATCCTGCAGATTCACACCAAGACACCAGTTGCTTTTGTGGGAGCTGCAGGCAGTGCTGAGCTCGGACGGCAGCGCGTCTGTGGTGATTTGTATTTTTTAAATGGATTAAACCCTTGAGGCAGCTCTCTGCGCCAAGGCTGCATTCCAGATTAGCAATCCCACACTAAATGGTTATGTGAATGCTCTTGAACTTCAGGACAAAGGAAATGGCCTCAATTTGCACCAGGGGCAGTTGAGATGGGATGTGAGGAAGAATTTCTTTGCTGAAAGGGTTCTGAGGCATTGGAAGGGGTTGCCCAGGGCAGTGGTGGAGTCCCCATCCCTGGAGGGATTGAAGAGTCGTGTAGACATA